CCTAGACTCATATAGAGGACTCGAGGACCCTTCTAGAGTTTCTAGCTCAATAGACCTAGGGATGGAGTCCGAACGTTTGCTTTTCTGACAAATATCTGGGTACTGTTGATGTTGTAGGTCATGGGAACACCCTTCAAGAAATACGAGTTAAGAACACAGCCCTGTGCGGCACAGGATCGACCGTCATCTTAGAATGCAAACCTGGGTAAGCAGTCCTAGGGTGGGGCCACACTACCAGTCTGCAGCCTTTTCAAAGCACCAGAGTGCAGACCCGGTGATAAGGCCTATGGGAGGAAGGGGTGGGACTGGAAACCAGCCTGAGAGCCTGAGCTGGAAGAAGAGGGTGGCATGCATTCCAGACAGGGCCCAGGAGGATGTGCAGAGGAGGGAGAGCAGAGAGGAGCTAGATGCCAGGAAAGCAGAGGCTCTTGTAGAAGCTGGGGCACTGGGGATGGAGACACACATAGGGCCAGGATGTACAGGCAGATGTGGGGTGGAGCCGCTATGTGGCTCTAAACCTTGTAGTTTGGAGCTCTATGCCTGGGATGCAGCTTCCCCAAAGCAACTCTCCAAATCTATTGTTAAACCCCATCAAGTCCACGTTAAGCTATGAGTCCCAGAGGGAACAAAGCCTCTAGGAGTTAAAGTCCACCATGAGCTCCGTAAGGCTGCCCTGTAGAGTAGGCACATTCTTTTCTTCCTTTTGTTCTCTTTTTTCCCCCTTTGAAACAGGGTCTTATGCTGTAGCACAGGCTTAGCTTGCTTCAAACTCCTGTGTATCAAAGATAGTCTTGAACTTTCAATTTTTCTGCCTCCCTTCTGAGTGCTGGAACTACAGGCATGTGCCACCATGCCCCCTGTACGTGGTGCTCCAGGTCAGACCCAAGGCTTCCTGTGTTAGGCGAGCGCTCTACCAGGTAAGTCCTATCCCCAGCCTATTGTCTTTAGTTTTCATTCTTTTTTCTTAATGAAAACTGAAAACATGTTATTTATTCAGTTTGACTAATTTGGAACAGTGATATGAATGTAGGGTAACTAATCCATCCTTGGGATCCTAACAGGTTTAGACAGAAGGCATAAGATATACAAAACTAAGTAATCTAAGGAAGTCATATAATGAATTTTTCCCTCTTTAAAACCCTCCCCCGACCTCAGCTCCTGTCTCTCCTGCAAGGAGGTCAGAGAAGGAGTAAATGTTTCCTCAGCAGAGATATTCTTATCTGGAGATTTTCCCACAATGAGATTCCCCGGGGGAGATTAGAATTTCATGGGGTACACTGTTTCACTAGTTGTTAGCCATGGGAGAGATAGAAAAGTCTCTTTAGATTAAATATCCTTGTTCCTATCAGGCAGGCAGGTCTCAGGGACTGACAGGGTGCGGACTCAGGAGTTTCAAGGTCAGCATGGGGATGGAAAAGTGGAGGCCTGCAGGGTGCTCTCACTGACAGCTATATAGTGCAAAAAAGGACAAAGCAGAAGACTTTCAGGAGGCTGACCCAAGGTGAGGGATACAGAGAGCCAGCAGGAGCCAGTGTGTCCTCAGATACACCCTGAGCATTGCCCTCTGGTCATCAGATCCTCTGCTTTCCCACCCAAAGCTCTCCCCCTGGAAGTCCCTCCATACTCCACAGCTCTCTGTGAATGCCTGATTGCCTCAGCCTTGGAGTGACTTGTGCTTAAGTCTCAGGATTTCCTGACAACCTGGATGTCATCTGGAGTCAGCATCGCTCAGGGCTTCTGAGGGTTTTGCAGGCATCAGGGAAGCAGAATACCATCCCATTCAGACACACCTTCATGGCTGCAAGTTCCCTTTGTCTCCTCACAAAAGACTAAACTGAAAACGGTCATGGGGTTTCTCTCCAGTATGACTTCCTTCTTGCCTTCCAGGCCTTCGAAACATTGGCAGTGTTCTTCAATATTACAGTGTGCTCGTGCTCCCCTCAGAGTTCCCCGCAGCGGCACTCAGAACAGCACTCAAAACTGCTGGCACCTGCTCCAGCACCTGGTTTTTGTTCTTATTTAACTACTGTCAGTGTTTGTTTGTCTGTGTGGAGACAGAATCTCATTATGTAGTCTGACTGGCCCCAGACTCAAGACTCTCTTACTGACTTTAGCCTTCTTGAGTAGCTGAGATTACAGGATGGCCACTGAACCTCACACAGGCCTCCTTGCTTGGGAAGTGACTCCAGGATACAGGGTCTGACTTTCTTTTCTTAGATTCTTCTAAACCATGGTAGGGCATGTCTTAGGTGGGCTCCAAGTTCCTTCCAGTGAGATTTCATGACTTGGGGAACCTGCGTGTTCTGCCTCTGTGGACACACTTTACCATGAGAATCAGAATCTGCTGTGCTGAGTTGGCCTGAGTGTGGGTCAGTGAACCGGTCCCAGAATTCCCTGTGCCAGGGGCTCTTCGTGGCCTCTTCTGCTCCCGCTTATTCCCCATCGGAGGTGCACCCAGAGCATCCCAGGGATAAGGCAGCTCCAGGCGTCAGGAAACTTGATGTACCCTACTCTAACCTAAATCCTGCTGTGCCAAGAGAAGGGAGGTGGGGACAGCAGTGACAGAGTTAATGAGTGAACCCAGACATGCCCTGAATCCTGCCACTCCTGCCCACCTCGTCAGATCTGTGACGCTTCACTCTTGGGGTCTAGTGGAAGCTTCCAACATCCCAGACAGTGGGGACTGCAGCTTAGCCTTCTCATGGCTAGGACAGAGAAGGGCTGGGATAGATGGGGAGGTTTATAAACAAACAAACATACTTGCAGCAGCTGGTAGATGTTAACTGACACTGTATACAAAAGATCAGAGACTTTCTGTCTGAATGCTGGTGATGAGAGGGAGGGGCAGAAGGAGGGGGACAGCTCGGGGAAGACAGCAGGGGGGAACTCTGCAAACGCAAGAGAAAGGTCACTCCAGAATTTAACCCCTGCCCTTGTCCTTTGGTGACCCAGAAAGACTTTGGTCTTTTCCTTTGCCCTCCCCGCAGGGAGGTAGGTGAGCCCACTTTACTTCAGATTTTAATTCAGGGGTGATTCCTTCCTTCCATGACAAGTGGGGGTTGAAGAGACCCTTGCCTCCCAGTCTTTGATCCAGATGAAGCTGAGAAGAAAGACTTCTATAAACCTGTCAGGGAGAAGGGAAAGGGCCTTGAAGGAGAGGCCATAAACCAGCAGATGGCCTTTGATCAGCTCCCCAGATCCTCTTTACAGCCCAGGATTACTGGTTCAGGGGTGCCCCTAGTGTGTCCTCACAGGGACCATGAGACTTCACAATAGAGTGCCCTAAAAGTTTAGAAAGACTGTGTACAAGGGGCTTGCCTTTTCACTAAAAAAATAAGAAAGAAAAGAGAGAGAGAAAACATCAGTTCAAATCAAGGAGTTGAGCCCTATGTCAGTCACAAGCTGGAAACCCAGCCAGCTTCCTCCTGGGATAGATAGTCCCTGACCTGGCAATTACATGACCATCTATTTAAATGATGACTGTGTAAGATACGCTTTTATTCCCACTTTCCAACTCCCCTAGACAAAAGAAAGCATTTACAGTCTCTCATTGTTAGATTTTTTATTTCAGGCTATGACAGTGTCAGAGGGACAAGAAAACCTAGTTCTTCCAATGTGTGTGTAAACTGATATTAGAACTGAGTGGTGACTTCTAACAAATCTGGCGTGTGCAACAGTCACATAGTCCACACGGATGCATAGTTCTGTCTGGGCCTGTGTCCCCTCTTGCCCTAGTAACTATGGAAGGAGATGAAGGTGACATCTGTTGTTCTGCTCACCATCTCTTGCTCACCCCCTGAGCCTCTCACCTGAGGCAGCAGCCATGTGAGCCGCCTGTCCCCAGTGACACATCAGGAACATCCCGGTTCCTGCTACAGCCCTGACTTGTGGAAGCGAGAGGCAGGCGCAGCCACCCTGAGAAGGTGGTTTGTTTGCTTGGCATTCACGCCTACATTCTGCTCATGCGCATCCCAAACCACTGGAGACATGTAGAACTGTAGTTTTTGTTTGCTTGTTCGCTTGTTTTTTTTTCTCTTTGGGGGCCCACCTCCCAGATCCCAAATGAACACATGGAGACTTATCCTTCTTTATGAATGCCCAGCCTTAGCTTTGCTTGTCTCTAACCAGCTTTTCTTAACTTATCCCGTCTAGTCTAGCTTTTGCCTCTAGGCATCTTTATCTCTCTCTATTCTATATCCCACGTGTCCTTCTTCCTCCGTGGCTGCTTGTGTGACTGAGTGGCTGGCCCCTGGCGTGCTCCTCCCCTCCTTTTCTCACTCCCCTCCTCTTTCTCCTGAGCCTAGATTTCTATTTATTCTCTCTGCCTGGCAGCCCCACCTATTACTCTCTCCTACCTAGCTATTGGACACTTGCTCTTATTTATTTGTTTATTTATTTATTATGTATACATTGTTCTGCCTGCATGTATGCCTGCTGGCCAGAAGAAAGCACCAGGTCTAATTACAGATGGTTGTGAGCCACTATGTGGTTGCTGGGAATTGAACTCAGGACCTTTGGAAGAGCAGTCAGTACTCTTAACCTCTGAGCCATCTCTCCAGCCCCTGGACACTTGCTCTTTATTAGACCAATCAGGTGTTTTAGACAGGCAAAGTAACACAGCTTCACAGATTAAACAAATGCAACATAAAAGAAGGTAACACATCTTTGCATCATTAAACAAACATTCTACAGCATAAGTGAATGTAACACATTTTAAACTTGCACAGATCAGCTCTAAGTAGGCAACTTTGTGAGATGACCCTGAGGCTAACCTCTGTTGTGTGCCTAAACTTTTCCTGGGGAGACACAACACACACATCTATTCACCCCAGACAGGGATCCCACGACAGATATGGATACCACCAAAGTCTGACTTGGTGAACCAATGAGTTTGTTGGGGTTACTTACATGAATATGGGTGAGGGGTTACTTACAGGAGCAGAAATGACTCAAAGACAACTGTATCGCCAAAGCCCACCCCAAGCATGGGTGACAGCTCACAAAACCTGGAACCTGGAGCACACTGCCCAGCCTTTCCAAGTGACTCAGTTGGTCTAAACCTCTTCCAGGCAGCTCAACTGGTTTCTGCTTCTTCCAGGTAGCTGATCTGGTCTCAGAGTCTTTGCATCTTAGATTGTCAGAAATGCAAAAAACCTTTGCAGCTTTTGTTGTTTTCTCTGGCCGGGAGGGACCCAGTCAATCTAGTTAGTTTCAGGGACTTCCTGAAGCTATTCTGAGTTCTTAACTCTCTGCTTAAAGAGCTCCCTGGAAGGATGGAATGTTTCAATCTTGGAGGAAACTATTACATAACAGTCTCCTTTTCTGGAACCTTTAGAACCCCACTAAAAGAAGAAAAAGAACACTTTAAGCCCCTATGGCAGCCTGAATGGGCTTAGCCCTATATGTAGAATTACACAACTGTATCATCGAGTCGAGACAAGCTCTTCTTTCCTGTGAGATAGTCAGGGAGTGAAACACTGTTACTGTTCCTGCACCAGGACCCGACGTCAAGTAGGGTGGCTGGACTGGCAGAGAGGAAAGCAACCTGTGAGAACCAGGACTCTTGCAACTCACAGTCAAATCAGGAAGCCTGGCTGATGGTAATGGCTCAGCCCTGGTGGATCTACTTCCGCAAAGCTGAGAAGGGGACCTCAGGACAACTATTTACAACCCTGGTCTTACAACTCCAGAGTGTGTAGGCAGAGTCAAAACTTCTGACAGTTTGAGACAAGCCGGCCTAAGTAGACATGCACTTATTGTTCAGCTGGCAAGTGCCCAGCGTGTCTTGAGCAGGCTGGGAGAACCAGGGAGAGGGCAGGGGGTGTAGAGGATAGCACATATCCCAGGGATGGTAGGCAAACCCTTGATGGGTTAACCGGACTTTTGTATTCTTGCTGTTGATTTGTCTTTTTGTTTGTTTGTTTGGTTGCTTGGCTGGGTTTTGTTTTGTTGTTGTTTCGCCACCTGTGGTAGGAATTGAACCCAGGGCTTTCTAGGCCCTTCTTTTCTTTGTGAGTGTATGTATCACAGTGTATATACATGTTCAGGAGTGGGGAGCGGGCCGATGTAAGGCATCTTCTAGCATTCTCTCTCACATTCTTGACACAGGATCTCTCATCAGACTTGGAGCTTGCTGATTGGCTAGACTGGCTGGCCAGTGAACTCCAGGGATCTGCCTATCCCTGTCGCCTTCCCCTCATTCTAGCCAGCACTGGGTTCCAGGGAAGCCAACAGTGTCCAGGTTTTACATGAGTGCTGGGTGTCCAAACTCAGGTCCACATGTTTGCACGTCAACACTTCACCCGCTGAGCCGTCTCTTTCTGTGTTCTTGGTTCTGTCTCAGCCATCTCATGTTAGGTCCATAGGAAGTTTGGTTTGCTTGTAACTGGGGCATCCTTTCCATGCTATCTCATTGAGACAGCATCTGTGAGCAAGCTATAATTTTACATTCTTTCTTCTGGAGGTTACTGTGGCTGGGAGAGCATCCTTAATGATAGGCTCTCAGAGGGCCCAGCGGTAGTTGGTAGTGGGAAGACCAGAGGGCTCCATTTCATGGGGATGAGCTAGAAAAGACAGGGAAGTGTTTAAAGATGTTATTGTGCTATATCCAGATTCCCTAGGCATAGGAATAGTTGAAGCTGGATCCTGCCAGCTCTCCTGTAAGAGAAAGAATGTTTCTGGAAATCAGGGAAGCGAGGGTTTGGGAATGGGTGAGGCATGGAGTTCCATCTCAGGGAAGCAGCTCCCAAAGGGCAAGAGGCAAAGCTGAGGACGTGCTATATTGTGAGGTCAGACAGAGGAGACAAGCAGCAGCCTCCAAGCCAGTGGCTCAGTGGGACCAGCTCCCCACATTCTCACCCAGGAGCACTTTGGAGGCTCTGAGCTGCCCTTGGCAGCCTCTCAGTTACTCTGGCAGGGAAACTCGGGATCCTGACCCAAGGATCTTTCCACAGATATCAGTCCTCACTCTGTACACACTCTCTAGCAGCTCTCCAAAGGTGATTCCAGAGTGGTCAGAAGCACAGAGGGAAGCCAAGGTCTCACCCTTAGTATGTCAGCTCCGTCTTCCTCGGGAAACACTATGACTGACAGTGTTTCCAGACTGGAAGACATTTTTTCTCCTTCCTTCCTTCCTTCCTTCCTTCCTTCCTTCCTTCCTTCCTTCCTTCCTTCCATTTCCTTTTGTTTACTTCCTTTTTTTTCTTCTTAAAACTAGATCTTGTCGCACCTGCTGTGCGGCCTGCATCCGAGAATGCAGCGAGGTGGTCGGGATAGATGACACAGAGACCGGTCGGTTGCTTTAAGAAAACTTTATGCTTCCCAAGTCAGCTTAGGAGGAGACCCCAGTCCGCTTAGCAGAGCTCTCAGGAGAAGTCTCTCTCTGAAAAAGGAGCTTCCCTTTTTAAGGACTTCTGCCATTCATCTACATACCATTCTTTCCTCCTGGCTGGTGGTCTAATCTCCGGCCCCAGAATCGGGGAGACACCACAGGGAAACAGGAAGAGGCATCTAGCCGTAGGAGGTGTGAAAGGCATGGTATTTCAGTGAGCAAGCCCTTATCTCAGCCCTATGAAGAGCTTTAAAGCACTGAATTGTTTTCAGTAAACATTACACAGATGCCTGCTCCCAGGCCGAAGGGGAAGTGGGTTTCTGCTCAAGGTCTGGTGTCCCCACAGATCTCACTATGCAGCCCTGGCCTAGAGCTAGCCTGTAGACCAGGCTGACCCCAAACTCGTAGAGATTTGCCTGACTCTACCTCCCAAGTACTGGGTTCAAAGATGAGGACCACTGCACACAGCTTGGATTAATACATCTTTATACTAATTTATGCAGTCTGTTCTTACTGAAGGAATGGCATTCAAGAAACATGTGTCAAACAGATATGACAGTGCACTTCCCAAGTCCTAGCACTTGGGAGGCTGAGGCAGGAGAATCGTAAGGCCAGCCCGGGCTCAGTAGTGAAATTCTAGCAAAGGAAAAAGAGAAGGTGTCAGGGGTAAGTAGTGGGGGAAGGGAAGGAAAGAAAGGAAAGGGAGAAGGGAGCAAGATAGATTTGCTGAACTCTGTCACTGACCCTGTGGAATGTTATGGGTTAGATAAAAATAACCCCACAGGCTCATTTGAATGTATGGCCTCCAGCTGTTGGCATTATTTGGGGGAGGTTCTAGAAACTTTTAGGAAGTGGGCCCTAGTTGGAGGACAAAGGTCACTGAAGTGAGCCATTGAAGGTTAGGGTTGGTCCCTGTGTTCTCCTCTCTCCACCTCCTGTCCTCTGTGAGGTGAAGAATCTCCTCACACGTGCCATGATCTGCCCAAGGGCGTTGAACTCTGAAATCAAGAGTGAATAAATCCCTCTTCCTTCTCAGGTGTGTTTCTCAGATATTTTGCCATGGTAACAAGAAAGGAGGCTAGCAGGGAGTTCTAGTTCTTCTTCTCAGGTCTTTCTCTCAGCCGGTGACCCTTTCCTCAGCCCTCCTCTTAGAAAGGTCTTCCCGCATGCCTCGCTATCCTCACTCACTGTAATCACTGTAATCAGCTCCTCCCCTTCACGGTCCTTTTCTAGAGACTAACTCATGTGACTATTAAATCCCTGGCGCTCAAACCTTGATATATCTGTGCCCATCTCTCTAACACTATGCTGGCATAGAGCAAGGGGCTCAACAATGGTCCCTCTGGGGGAAAAAAAATGAATAAAGGAGCATAGAGGACTTCTGGGTGCATGTGCGGTCAGGTGACAGGGCAGACACCAGGTTATTTAGATGGCCTAACCCTGATGGCCTCCTATACCAGGGCCCACTTGGTGTCAACTGTACTGGAAGGATTCCTGCTGCGCCCTCAAGGCTTGCTTGCCCTTGCTCTGGGAAGACACAGTTGCCCTCCCCCATCCCCCGTGCCCCTCCACATCTTCCCAGAACCTTGACAAGCACACAATGCGTGTTCCTTCAGACAAGCTCTTCAACAGCTCACATTCAAAATACCTTCTCCCTAAATGTGAAGCTGCCTTTTCTCTGGGCGGTATAATAAGCTCTGCCGTAGACTGTAGCCTGATCTCCAAAATGACTCCCCTGTGCTCACCACATGCTCACCACAGTGCTTCCTTCTCTTGATGTTTGCATGGCTCTCTCTTAAGCTCCCATTCTTTGTCAGATAAGTAGCTTGGCCTGAGCCTGGGCACAGCTCCTCCAGCTGACTCTTAAAGCCTGGTCTCCGAGGGACCTCAGCGCCCCTTGTCCTTGTGTATAGGTAGGGGAGAGAGGAAGCAAGATCACCTCTGTTTCCTCATACATAACCTTTGGCCTGCCACTGCCCGGGCCCTTAGCTCTGGCAGTGTTAATTTATCCTGGGTACTTTCTGAATGTTTCTAGACAACTGAAAATTCATTTGAGGAGAGAGAGTTCATCTCAGAGGGATTTCTGAACACCATAGCCTAAGGACCACCCCAAATAGAGGAGAGGTGCTAGGGTTTATTTTTTCCAGCTTCATCCCTGTGGTGTCTCCTTATTCTTCCTCTCAGAGCATCCCAACTCTGAACATCTCTCTCCTTTCTGGTTCTGGGAACAGACCCCTTCCCTGCTCCTCACTGCCAGTAGCCCTGGGGTCCCAAGCTCCCCTTTGTGGATGTCATATAGCCTATATTCTAAGTCACCCTTGTTATAAGTCAGCCTCAACTAGGAATGTAGCTTAGAGGTAGAGTCCTCACCTTGTGTGTGCAAGACCTTGGGATTGATACACATATATAAGAGGGGGACACTCCAGAATTATCCTAATTACAGGAGTATTTCTCTCCTGTGGAGACTCTACTGGCATCAGGGAGTGCCCTTCCCTTTCAATAGAATCGCGTGGTGATGAAGCCATTATTATGTTAGACTGGAAATATCCTGTAGTGGTTTAAAAGAAAATAGCCTCCAAAGGGAGTGGCACTAATGGGAAGTGTGGCCTTGTTGGAGGAAGTGTGTCACTGTGGAGGTGGGCTTTGAGGTCTCATATATGCTCAAGCCATGCCCAGTGAGACAGACTACTTCCTGTTGCCTGCATATCAGCATGTAGCAACTACTTCTTCAGTACCACGTCTGCCTGTACGCCACCATGTCCTGCCATGATGATAATGGATTGAACCTCTGAACTTTAAGCAAGTCCCAATTAAATGTTTTCTTTGCAAGAGTTGTCATGGTCATGCTGTCTCTTAAAAGAATAGAAGTACTAACTGAGACATATCCTAAAATGAAAAGGGATAGTAATCACCTTCATTGGGTTGGTTTTTAGTTGTTTAGGGTTGGGTATGGAAGGTGATGCTCAGACTCGGGTATCTCTTTTAGATAAGTTTAAGGGTATGGATGGGAAAGGTATGGTTAGGATGGGATATAGGAGGATTTACATATTTTCTAGTGAACTAACTTAAGTAACTGTTAGCTATAGATAACTTAAATTGTTAGATTATCATATATTGACTGTTTAGGGTCTTCTTTCTGTTTATGATGTTTTGCACACAAATATAAAACTATCTTGATATATATACATTTTGTATATTGATACAACTTAGGATATTTTATGCACTTTATAATTCTACCTCTGATAAAGACATTTCAGTTCTATCTCTGTTAGTGATATATATATTTGAAGTCATTGTTCTTGCTAAATTATTTTGGGAAGCTTCAGCCATTGTACAACTATGTTCCTGAGAATTACAGATTATTATCACCCATGTTTCTTTATAATTATTTATTTATGTTTAGTTTTTTGAGACAGGGTTCCTCTGTGGCTTTGGAGGCTGTCCTGGAACTAGCTCTTGTAGACCAGTCTGGTCTCAGAACTTGCAGAGATCTGCCTGCCTCTGCCTCCTGAGTGCTGGGACTAAAGGCATGAGCCACCACTCCTGACTCACCCATATTTCTTATAACTATGAGATTAGTCAGACATAGATATTTGATCTTCAAATATTTCATAGACCTAAGGAATATGACATTTAAATGTTTTAATACTAGCACTCCATTGCCTTGAGACACAATTGCTCCTAACAGCACCAAGCTATTCCCAAGAATATGTTGGGCACTGATGACACTACTGGAGTTCATTCTCTCATTGGTTAATGGCCTCTTGGGCAAAGAACTGCCCCCACCTCTGCAATGTGATTGTTTTTCTGGCCCAGCTAGGGTTAGCCTGCTCTTCTCTGCCCCAAAGAAAACATGTAGATACTATAATAGTTAGAAATGCTGTTGGCCTTTGGCTAAGGTTTCTTTTTGCTAGCTCAGTCTTAATTATTCACCTATCTTCTAATAATTCATGTATTTCCTCGTGGCTTTATCTTATCAGAGAAAAGGTCCAACTCTCTCACTCTTTTTGTCTATATCACATCTGTTCTGTGTCTCCGCAGAGAAGAGAAGAGAGCGATTACCTGTTTGTTCTTGCTTATATACTGTTACTGCCTGCTATATCACTTCCTGCCTGGATCACATGGCAACTTCTCTTTACTACATTTCCCAGAATCCTCCTCTACTCCTAGTCCCATCTTCTTGCTTCCCTATTGGCCAACAGTGCTTTATTTAACAACCAATAAGATAAACAT